GCAAAAAGTTAAATGTCTAACAACACAAACTGAAAATTGAAGTCTCAAAACCTGAAACAACCATCTTGTTAGATTAAAAAAATGACCTTCCGAAGCTAATCGAACTGACATAATTTTCATCATAGCACATTTACCAAAAATTCTAAGCAAAATCAAATTTTTGCCAAAAGTTAAAAGTTAAATTGCCTAATGGTACTGAATATGAAAACCTCAAAATCCAAATCACTCATCCTATAAAGTGAAAAATGACTTTCCATAGTTAACCGCGCTAACGAAATTCAAATTTGAGCATGTTTTTTTAAAAAATTGACCTAATTTAAATTTTAGCCAAATTTAAAAGTTAAAACGCTTACACAAACTGAAAACAAGTGTCAAATCCCGAATCAACCATCCGTTGAGATCAAAATTGAACTTATATGGCTAACTGCGGTGACAAAATTTTAATTTGAGCATGATTATAAAAAATATTGACTAAAGTGGAATTTTGACCAAAACTTAAAAGCTAAAATGCCTAACGGCATAAACTAAAAAAGGAAGCCTCAAAATCTGAACCCTCTATCTTATTACATTAAAAATGATTATTCGCACCTAACTGTCTTATCTGGATACATTATTAAATATATTGACCAAAGTTAAATTTTTCCTAAAATTTATATGTTAAATATCTAAGGGCACACAGTAAAATGAAAGGCTCAAAACACAAACCATCCATCTTACTAGATAAAAACTGACCTTTGGAGTTAATTACGCTAACGAAATTCTCATCTGAGCACGTATCACAAAAATATTAACCGAAGTCAAAATTTGGCCTAATCATAAAATTTAAAATACATAACGGCACAAACAAAAATGAAAGCCTCAAAACATGAACCAACCTTTGCGTCAGAAAAAATGATCTTTCGAAGCTAATGACATTGATGGAGTTCTTATCTGAGCACGTTTACCAAAAATATTCAACAAAGTCAAGTTTTGATTAAAATTTAAAAGTTAAAACACGTAATGACACAAATAAAATATAAAGTCTTAACACTAAACGCTGATTTACCAAACAAGTTAACTTCAATTGGTAATTTACCAACTATTAAAATATAAGTTAGATATTAATAACTTACCAATAAATTTTATCAAAGTTGGTAATAGTTACTATTGAACTAAACATTCATATGTAATATTACCAACTAATAATTAATATGTTGGTAAATTTTACCACTGGATTAGTGAGCAGTCGGTATATTACCTACTATTTAATGATGTTAGTAATTTACTAACTACAATTTTTATTCGTCGGCAAAATTTCCAACTAATTTGAATTGATTGGGAAGTTTACCAACAAATTACATTTCGTTACTAATTTACCAACACATTTTATATTTAATTGGTAAATTAGCAATACAATCTTGTCGTTGGTAAATGTTTGGTTACTAATTCATTGGTAATATGTTAATAAATTATATTAAAAAAATTGTCATATTTACCAAACGATATATATTTTGTTGGTAATATTAGCAACAAAAGGTCTATGTCAGTAATAATTATGTGTGTAATCAATGGATAGAAGGTTGCTAAATTTGACGTCATTTTTTCCCGCCGCATTTACCAACTAAAATACTAAATTACTAATATATATTGGTAATTAGTTAGAATTTCGTTATTAAGTTTTAAAATATTATTCGATTAAAAATATATTTGTCACGACCCAAACCGGGTTGCGACTGGCACCCACACTTA